TCTTTTTATCTCTCCACCGTCAGGTCCAGTGCCCTTCATCCACTCAAAGTAATCACTCCCACATCTGGAGAACCTTTGAGGTGGCAGGGACTCCATGAGAACTGCTCCTTCTGTCAGATGCACACTATTTGATGCAGCTCTTGAATAATATGGAATGGATCCAGGTTTAGTCATTAGATACATTAGATACAGACTTCTTGACTTCAGTGAGCCTGCTTACAGATTGACTAAATCTGGATTGATTCCGATGCATTTTGCACGCTGCTTGATTTGACCAAGTCATGGAAAGAAATTCCTATTTTTATTTTTATTTTTGTAAAGACTAGTCTGTCCCCCTTGATACCATGATATACTTGTAGATATGAAAGTTGGGCTGTGCTGACAGAAAGTTGATGGACTGGATCCAGAAAGCCTTAAGCAAAAAGAGAAAATATGTTACGGAAGTCCTATGAACTCTAGCAAATTAGAGGAAGATTTTTCAGTGTGCAGCACCATAGTGTACTGCAGGTTGTGTTACAGTGCAAGAAACAGTGCGAAAAATATTGATTGTGGTATGTGAACTCACATTGGCACTATAAATATGTTCCACAGTGCAGAAGGATGATTTCTCATTCCTCCATATATGTGTGTGTAGACACATACATATACATATATGTAGAGAGAGATGACAGAGCATACTTCTGCACTATGGAATAAGGAGGCAAAACTTTCAGAGAAGCCATTGAAATCCACAAACATGTGGACAATTTCAACAGAAAAGACGAAACCATCAAAATGAACAAAATCTGACTACCACTATTTAAAAACTCTAAAATCAGGACAGTAAATAAAGAGGAAAACACAAACAACAGGGGAATTTCTAACAGGAAACCATCAGGGCCAGCTAATGCCTCCAAACATAGGATTCCCCCAGACAGCAACCAGCCAGGCTTTGAAGCTGCAAGACCATTCAATGCTAATCAAGGTGGCAAATTGCAACATTCACACCTGCCTCCAACCTGGACATTCCACAGATATATAAACCTCACTTGCCTAGTTTCCAACAGACCTCACAATCTCTGAGGATGGCTGCCATAGATGTGGGTGAAATGTCAGGAGAGAATGCTTCTGGTACATGGCCATACAACCAGGAAAACTCAGAGCAACCCAAAACCTTCTGAATGTGTGGGTCACTTTTTACCAAAAAGAATTCATTCACTGTTTTGTAAATAGCATTTGTGACCAGACCACTAATTGAAGCACACATTTGGATCCAGTTCTATGTCTCTTCAATCAGTCTTAGGCTCAAGCAGCATTGCGGTTTCACTTTTTCAGGGGGAAGGCTTTCTGAAAGTGTAACTTTCAGGTTATAAACATATTAGAATCAGGTTTTTAGTCCTGTTGTAGTTGGAATCAGTCTATGAGCAGCTTCTTCTGCAAGTGTTCTGATCAAAGCCTGGCTCCGGTGAGGTTTTCATTAACATCTGGATTCAAACATGATAACAAAGGATACATAGCATTTGCTGCTTAAGCATGATATTTTGAATGAACACACCCTATTCCTTGTAGGAGCCTAGAAGCTATTCATGGAGAAACAAAAATGGGCCTATTGTGTGACAGACCTATTAAAACCTGGATGTCTAACCCCACCCAAAAGGAAGGTAAGGAAACGATGAAAGGTTTAAAGTGGCTGCGATAGACAAATGCCGTTATAACAATCCCTCCTCCTTTCATATGTTGCCAGACAGTCTCGGGGAACAAAAAAAGTGCAATGGAGACAATTTTAAATTTTTGTTGCTTTTAGATCTTCAACCTGTCATCATCCAACACTTGGACGCCATGGGGAAGAACAGAAATATTTCCTGCCATTGAATGAAGGAAAAAGACCCATGTCAAATATTAGCACCGTAGGAGATCTGAGGGCCTTTCCGCACAGCCCTATATCCCAGAATATCAAGGCAGAAAATCCCACAATATCTGCTTTGAACTGGATTATATGAGTGCACACTCAGATAACATGGGATTTTCTGTCTCAATATTCTATATTTGTCTGGGATATAGGGCTGTGTGGAAGGGCCCCCAGTCTCACCCAGTTGTCCATGTTTTCATCTTACCAAACAAACCCGAAGAAGAGACAGAATACCTACACAATACTATATGAATGGGAGTCCCAACTAGTGTATCTGTCTAGAACAGTGTTTCTCAACCTTCTTAATGCCATGACTCTTTAATGCAGTTACACATGTTGTGGTGGCCCCCAACCATAAAATTGTTTTCGTTACTACCGCACAACTGTAATTTTGCTACTGTTATGAATCATAATGTTAATATCTGATATGCAGGATGTATTTTCATTCACTGCACCAAATTTGGCACAAATACCCGATATGCCCAAATTTGAATACTGGTGGGGCTGGAGGAGGATTGATTTTGTCATTTGGGAGTTGTAGTTGTGGGATTTATAGTTCACCTACAATCAAAGAGCATTCTGAACTCCACCAACGATGGAATTGAACCAAACTTGGCACACAGAATTCCATGACTAACGAAAAATATTGGAAGGATTCGGTGGGCATTGACTTTGAGTTTGGGAGTTGTAGTTCACCTACATCCGGAGAGCATTGTGGACTCAAACAATGATGGATCTGGACCAAACTTGGCATGAATACTCAATATGCCCAAATGTGAACACTGTTGGAGTTTGGGGGAAATAGACCTTGACATTTGGGCATTGTAGTTGCTGGGATTTAGAGTTCACCTACAATCAAAGAACATTCTGAATCCAAACTTCATCATCCAACACTTTAAGGAAGCCATGGAGAAGAACAGAAATATTTCCTGCCATTGAATGAAGGAAAAAGACCTATGTCAAATATTGGCACTGCAGGAGATCTGAGGGCCCTTCCACACAGCCCTATAACCCAGAATCTCAAGGCAGAAATCCAACAACATCTGCTTTGAACTGGATTATCTGAGTCCACACTCAGATAATGTGGGATTTTCTGTCTCAATATTCTGGGATATAGGGCTGTGTGGAAGGGCCCCCTAGGAAGGGAAATTCACTCCTGGAGGGGTTATCATGGGAAAAAGGTGTCACCACTGAAGCTTTAGCACCAATCCTTGTTTCCATAACAATCCATTTCACTCCCAAAATCCAATTGTCACAGGGACAGAAAGAGAGGTGACATTTTCTAAAACAAACACTGCAGGGGTATTAACCCTTCCCTATGCTATCCAAAGCATGTGTGTGTGTGTGTATGACTTCAGACCAAACACACACCAGGAACAATAATAATAATAATAATAATAATAATAATAATAATAATAATAATAATTTATTTATACCCTGCCACCATCTCCCCAAGGAACTTGGAGCAGCTTACATGAGGCCAAGCCCAATAACACATCAATAAAACAACAAGCAATAAACAAAGTAAACAATACAATTAGTATAACTCACATGTAGACAATAAACACAGGAATTTAAAAGCCTATGGCCGGGCCAGATGTAATAGTTAAAACTTTAAAAATAAATGCTGGACATGAACAGACGATGTATTTAGTAGGAGGGTTTTAAACCAAAAGTAGAGAACAAACCAAAGGGTAATTAAAGTGGTTCTCAGGATATTTGCAGGGGATTGTTTCCTTTATTCAGGGAAGGCACAGTTCCTCCTCCTAAAGACTGCAATGTGGGGGCTTGTCTGATATCCTTGGGGACTTCCTTACTGTGAGAACTCTGTGCCCCGGAATGTGGTGGAGGCTCCTTCTTTGGAGGTTTCATGCAGAGGCTGGATGGCCATCTGTCGGGGCTGCTTTGAATGTGATTTTCCTGCTTCTTGGCAGGGGGTTGGACTGGATGGCCCATGAGGTCTCTTCCAACTCTATGATTCTATAATTCACTGAGCAGCTAGACCCCTAGATTTGTTACTAATTGTCAGTATTGGTCTCTAGTCATCTTATAAAAGAAAACTAGCAGTCCCCTGCCACACACTGCTGTGGCCCACTTGCAGGTTCTGTGTGGGAGGTTTGACCCAATTCTATCGTTGGTGGGGTTCAGAATGCTCTGTGATTGTAGGTGAACTATAAATCCCGGCAACTACAACTCCCAAATGTCAAGATTTTATTTTCCCCAAACTCCACCAGTGTTCACATTTGGGCATATTGAGTATTTGTGTAGAATTTGGTCCAGATCCATCATTGTTTGAGTCCACAGTGATTTCTGGATGTAGGTGAACTACAACTCGAAAACCGAAGGACACTGCCCACCAAACCCTTCCAGTATTTTCTGTTGGTCATGGGAGAACTGAGTGCCAAGTTTGGTTCAATTCCATCGTTGGTGGCGTTCAGAATGCTCTTTGCTTATAGGTGAACTATAAATCCCAGCAATTCCCAAATGACAAAATCATAATTTTTGAGTGATGGGCATACATTTATCTTGTATTCATATATGGTTTTACTGTATGTGTATGTTTTGTATGTTTTGCATGTTTTGATATGGTCAAAATTGACTAATCAATAAAGAATTGTTGTTGTTGTTGAGTGATGGTCACTCCTTGTGTTGTGAGGCGTTTTGTTGCCAAATTTGGTGTGATTTCGTTCATTGGTTCTTTTGTTTTTAGGGTAGTCATTACGCATTTATATATATAGAGAGAGAGAGCGAGAGAGAGAGAGAAATCAATAGTATATTATGTAATTATGAAATTATTTGGATGTTTTCTTTCAACTGAAAAAGAAGCATAAAGAATGTACAACCTCAGCTGGCCAAAACTGGTAGTCAGAGTATGCACTGGCCAGAAATTCAGAGAAAGGATTTCCGACCTTAGGGATGGTGGGAGTTGAAGTCCAAAACACCTGGAGGGAGGGCCCAAGTTTGCCCAGGCCTGAGAATCTCAATGACAGAGTCCCACCTGGGCTGTGCCTCTTGGGCGGAGTCGAGGCCACACCCCTCCCTCCCCATTGGCTGGAGGGCCCGCCAGCCACGCCTTCGGGGGCGGGGCCTCCGCCAAGTTCCACGGAGGTGGAGAAATGTAGGCGCCGGAGCCGCGAAGGGGGCTGGACGGAGCATCGCCTTCCCTTGGCTCCAATCGGCTGCCTCGGTCTCGCTCTGCCGAGAGCCGGGCGCGTCCCAGGTGCGGGATGCCTGCCCTCGGCGGGAGGCTCTGGGCGAAATGGGGCTCCGGTGAAAGGCAGAACTTCTTCTCGCCCGCGTTGCGCCTCGCTTGAGGAACGCCGCCGCCGCCGCGTCGAACTTTGGTTGGGTTTCCTCCCCGCGTCCCTTTCCCTTCAGGGGATGGTGAAAGCTTTCTAATTAGAAGGAGAAGAAGGAGAAGGCGACGCCTGGAGTGGAGCTCAAGCCGCGGGAAGGGCTGCGGGCCCCGCGGGACCCGCGATGGCCACGGAAGTGGTGTGCGGACTGATCTTCCGGCTCCTGCTCCCCATCTGCCTGGTCACCGGTACGTCTACACTGGGGAACGAATGCGGGTTGACGCCCCTTCTAAAGGGGGAATGCATGCACTTCGACGCCTTGGCGGAATGCTATGGGGTGAAGGGAACTTGGGTTTTGCAAGCTCTCTCCAAAACTTACCATAGTCGTGAAAAGTTAGAGTGTGTTGTCGAAGGCTTTCCTGGCTGGAATCGCTGGTTGCTGTGAGTTTTCCGGGCTGTGTGTGACCACGTTCCAGAAGCACTCTCTCCTGACATTTCGCCCACATCTATGTTAGGCATCCTCAGAAAATAGGCAAGTGTATTCCACACATTTCTGTGAAATGTCCAGGGTGGAAAAAAGAACTCTTGAGGCAAGTGTGAATGTTGCAATTGGCCACCTTGATTAGCATTCAAGAGCCTTGCAGTTTCAAAGCCTGGCTGCTTCCTGCCTGGGGGAATCCTTTGTTGGGTTTCCAACAGACCTCGCACCCTCTGAGGGTGCCTGCCATAGATGCTAATCAAGGTGGCCAATTGAAACATTCACACTTACTTCAAACATACAAGAGTTATTTCTCCCACCCTGGATATTCCACAGATATATAAACCCCATTTTTCTAGCTTCCAACAGACTTCACAACCTCTGAGGATGCCTGCCATAGATGTGGGCAAAATGTCAGGAGAGAACGCTTCTGGAAAGTGGCCGTAGAGCCTGGAAAGCTCAAGTGCCAAACAGACTTCATGTCGATGGCTTTCATGGCCAGAATCACTGGGTTGCTGTGAGTTTTCCGGGCTGTATGGCCATGTTCCAAAAGCATTCTCTCCTGACATTTTGCCTGCATCACAGCCATACAGCCCAGAAAACTCACAACAACCCAGACTTCATTCTGTGTACCCTCAGAGTGACCTTTTTGAGTTTCCTTATGGAGAGGCAAAGCGGGCTATAAATGATAAATTGTAAGAAAATTATAATTTTTGTAGCAGAGCTTTCCAAACATTTCATGTTGGTGACACACTTTGTTAGATACGTGTCATTTCGTGACACCGACCCCTTATGGGAGATGCGGACATGCGGACATCACTTGGCTCATGAAAAACCTTTCAAATGTATGGTTTTATTATTTGTATTATTGGTAAGATAATAGCAAACGCTTCCAAAATTTTTGTTATTTCTCATTGCATGACACACCTACTCACTGCAGCCAACACACTCATAACGTTATCACGGCACACAGCTTGGAAAGCTCTGTTCCAGAACGTCTCTCTTTCCTTTACTTTTTAAATGGCAGTGTTTTTTGCCTCACAACAGAAAACACTGTCACTGTTCTTCTTCTATGGTGCGGCCTTTTAAAGTCCCTCCAAACTTCTCATGTTGACTCACTTGACTGAGGGGCCCTTCCACACAGCCACATAAACCAGAATATCAAGGCAGAAAATCTCACAATATCTGCTTTGAACTAGGATATCAGAGTCCACACTGCCATATATTCCAGTTCAAGCAGATAATGTGGGATTTTATTCAGCTGTGTGGAAGGGGCCAAAGACTTTAGGTGGAATAGAAGAGACAATGCATTTGCGTGCCATGTTTTGCTGGTTTAATCAGTTCCTTGAGTTCACTAGGGCTGGATCTACAGATGGTCAATGCAAATAATACACATTATCTGCTTTGAACCAGATTATATGAGTCTACACTGCCATATAATCCAGTTCAAAGTGGATAATCTGGATTCTAAATGGCAGTGTAGAGCCAGCCTAGGACTTGCTTCCAAGGAAATTGGGGCAGGATGGTGGCTATAGATGTGGGGACTGAAACCATGACCCAAAGGCCCTTTACAATTTGACATCCTTTGTGACTCTTCAGTAGAAACCCCATTCGCTTTAAGAGAGTTTAGTGCTAGGTGAGTGGGCAGAGGATTTGGCGAGTGTTGGTGTTCAGAGGACACCTAAGCAGCTGCTTATTAATGTAGAAGGGAAAAAAAGGAACTTGTGTACTAGGAAGCACGCACCATTGATTCCCAAAGAACATAAATTAATCGTGTTTAGCCCAGAAAATGATGTTTACATTGAATCCATATTGCACATATGTTTTTTGTTATTTTCAATTGAAAACTAAATTTCATCTTGAGCTCCCTCCTATCGCAAAGCCAAAGAGTTATTATGTTTTGAGTGGGAGGCAAAGTTGGTTCTCCTATTTCTAATATTACATATACAATATTGGGGCAGTTATGTCTAGATGATCAAGCCATCCATTTTGGCGAATTGTAATCTATTTCTAACTTTCTTGAAACTAGGAAACTAGAGAAGCATTTGTCTTTTAGGCTTGCCGTATGAAGCACACTTACTAAGAGCAAGACACTTTGGGCCCTTCCACACAGCCATAAACCCAGAATATCAAGACAGAAAATCCCACAATAATCTGCTTTGAACTGGGTTATCTGAGTCCACGCTGTCATATATTCCAGTTCAAAGCAGATAATGCGGGATTTTATTCAGCTGTGTGGAATGGGCCTTTGAAATCTATTCAACCAACTTCTGAATCGATAGATTTAGGGTTAATGCTGCATATATTTCTCAAGTGGAATGCCGTTTGCAAGAGGAAGCTGAGAATTAATCAAAGAACAGCTGGTAGATCCGTTTACAAACGTCTAGAAGTGTCTGTTTTATTCAGCTGGTTTGGGTTAAATACAATTCAAGTAAAATGGAAATGCCATCAGGATTATTGGGGCCCATTGGCTCAATTCAGAAGAAGCATTAGGAATGAAATCAAGTGTGTGAAATCTTGTTTAGCTGACGTTTCATACACAGAGTGCTGATGTTAGTTGCAGGTGTAGTGGAAATTTGGTTGCTTGGTCCTGGTCCTTATTTTCTCATTTGTGGATCAAGGTATTTGCAGACTTATGCGTGACTGCGACTTAAAAGGCTAGCTAGGTGCATCTCACAAGCCAGGAACTCTGTGATTACAAATCCAGTTTAGATACTTTGTTCAGTTTTGGAGTTCTGTTTGTTTTCAGTACATAGTTTACACAATAAGGAGATAGTGCTGGATTCCTTATAGATTGGAAAATCTGCATGATGCCACATTTTTCTCAAAAGCATCCCCAGAACCTGAAGAAATGGCATGTACAAACAACCTTACCCGCTATCCTGTCCTGCTCCAGATGCTTCTCTTTACCTTCATGATTTACTTTGAATGTGAATGCGGAGAGCTCAGACAGACCATGAATAATGCTGTGCTATGCTTAATTTCGTAAATTTTCAAGGAAGAGGGAACATCTTAGTGTTGATAAGAAGAGCCACCATTCTTGATTTCTGCTTCCCAATTCCCCGTGTCCCAGTATCTTCATGTGGGTTCACTATGCGCTGAATCACAAGCTGGATCACAAAGGGCTGGGGAATTGCAAGTGCTTTCTCCATACAGGCGCAGAGGCATGAAATTTTTGCTCTCCAGCTGCTTTCTTCAACGCTGGAGAATCTTAAAACCTTTCTTTCCTTATCTCTCAAGAGCAGAGGGGTGTAAGGACAACAGTATCCTCTACTGATAAATATTGATCCTCCCTTTGAAAAGCATGAGTTTGGTTTTTTCAGTCCACCAAGACACTCAAATACCCAACTGGGTCATATTCCATAGTCCATATTATGCTAATATTAGATCAACCCAAAATTATGTGTGAAAGGCTGTGCCAAGAATTCAGTTTTTTGTTTGGCCTGAGAAAGGCATCATATACGCATAATGTATTTGGTGCATTTCAGTAAAGGCATCTCTCTTTTGTAGTTTTTGGATTTTGTTGTATTTGCTGCATGGCCAACATGGCTACCTCTTACTATGTTTACATCCACATCGATATTACATTTGTCTTATAGTCAGCACAGCTACCCTTACATTTGTATGAATTCAGGCATGTGTTTTTCTTCTTCTGAAAAGTCATTTATTCCTCATAATGGATTGAAAACAACTTTACCACTACATTCCCTTTGTTATCCAGCTGCAGTTCTAACTGGAGAGCTTAACATCAGGGTTGTGGAACCATAACCTTCTCTTTAGAAAAAATGTGAGTTACTGTCTAGTCCTTGTCCTTCAGAGAGAGGAGTATCTGGATCTCACTTAATGGAGAAGTAATTGTCCAGTGCTAAGCCATTACAATATAAAGAAGAAGAGATTGGAAAAAATATATTTTTGGTGATAATGCCCAGAAATAGTAGTTTTGCTGGCTGCTGGATTCTGGAAGCTGTAGTTCCCCAAATTTACTTTTTCAGGGGTTATGTTGTGGCAAGGAAAAATGAGTCAAAGTAAACAAAATAACTGCTTCAAGGTACAACCATAGAGACCACACCTGGGATACTGTGTCCAATTCTGGGCACTGCAATTGAAGAGGGATGTTGACAAGCTGGAATGTGTCCAGATGGCGACTGAAATGATTAAGGGTCTGGAGAACAAGCCTTGTGAGGAGCAACTTGAAGAGCTGGGCATGTTTAGCTTGCAGAAGTGAAAGCTGAAAGGAGACATGATGGCCATGTATAAATATATAAGGGGAAGTCATAGGGAAGAGGGAGCAACCTTATTTTCTGCTGCCCTGGAGACTAGGACATGGAACAATGGCTTCAAACTACAGGAAAAGAGATTCCCTCTCAACATGAGGAAGAACTTCCTAACTCTGAGAGCTGTTCAGCAGTGGAATTCTCTGCCCCGGAGTATGGTGGGGGCTCCTTCTTTGGAGGCTTTTAAACAGAGGCAGGATGGCCATCTGTTGAGGGTGCTTTGAATGTGATTTTCCTGCTTCTTGGCAAGGGGTTGGACAGGGTGGCCCCTGAGGTCTCTTCCAACTGAAGGATTCTATGATTTGAAACAAGCGTATTTAGGAAGGGTATGAATGGAGCTCCTTCCTCAAATTCTTTGCTTCCTGTTCTTCAAGCAAGAACTGAACTCTTCAGACTAAGTGATTGGGAAATGCTCATGATCTGGAACTCATTAAAAACTCCTACCTAATTATCCTGACCACTAGTGGAACCAATCCCAAATATTACGGGCTTGTAG